ATTTTAGGGTTTTACACAGAATTAAACCAAACAACATGAATCAAACATGCACTTTATTTATTTCCACTAAATAACAAAAGTACATCAAAATGATTGAAGCTAAGGGCATACAAAACTGTCTAACATCAACAGGGACCAGAGTACCTTGGATGAGAAGGGTGATGGAGGGGCACGTTCCTTTGCATTGGAATTGGGCGCCATTGCCAAAGTCACTGAGGAGAAAGTGGAGGGGTTGACAGGAAGGTGGAGAAACGAGGTGACTCGAGGATGTAGGAAGTTATGTGTGCTTCTTGAGTCGACAAGGACAAAAATGAGGTGGGAAAAGATGAACGCAAGTAAGCGGAGGGTACGAGGGAATCATTACCGTGGAGAGCGTGAAATGAGATTTTAGGTGATGGTTGGGGGTTGATGTCGGGGTTAGGTGAAGCTGGTGAATCAAGGTCGGGGGAATCAGACTCCTCATCAGGAAGGAGGAGGAGTTGTGGGGTTTTACACTTATGTACAGGACAAAATTTTTTGTTGGAGTTGAAGCATTATCATTGGGTCTGTCATGTTTGTTGTTTTGCAAGGGTCAGGCGGTGAATGTTGGGTGGTAAGTTTGGAAGAGGAGGTGGAAGGCTCAGTAGTGGTGGTTTGGTAGAGGGGGGTAAGGATGAGGTAGAGGGTCACGAGTTGGTGTTCGAAGATGGAAGGAGAGTGATGGAGGGAGAGGGAGGGAAAGATGGTTGAGGGCGGCGATTGGCTGGGGGGTGAATAACAGGGGCAAATGATAGTTTATCCTCTATTAGTTTTACAAAGGAGAGGGCAAAGGAGATGGTGATAGGTTTGGTGATTGCAAGCTCCTGTTGGATTTCGGGTTTAAGTGGAAAGATGAAGCAATTAAGGATTGTTTGAGGGGATAGGTCATCAATGCGGTTGCAAATGATCTCAAAGCGGGATTGGTAATATGAGACTGAGGAGGTTTGGGTTAGCTTGAGCAAAGTGGCTTGGTGATTAACAAAGGAAGACGGTCTGAATTGTTCTTCCAGTGTTGTAGTAAGATTGGTCCAAGTGGATAGCTGTTGGTTGCAGTGCATCCATTGAAACCAGCTAAGAGCTTGGTTGGCCATGAAGAAAGAGGCGATGTCGATTCGTTGGTCGTCCGGGGTACGATGGAAGTTGAAATAAAGCTCAGCCTGGAAGAACCAGTCATGGGGGTTGGAGTGTGAGATTTTGTAGCAGAGGGGACAAACGGAAATGGAGGAGTTGGCAGCAAAAGATGAGGAAATCGATTGAGGAGGAAGAATGATGATGGGCTTGTCGGGGCGAGGAAGGCGAAGGACCAATTCATTGAGGGTTGATTGGATGTTGTCGAGTTTGGTTTAGTGGTCTGTGCAAGAAGCACGTAGTTCTTCAATGGCATATTCTAATACTTTGTATCTGGTTTGAACACCAGCTGCGACTTGTTCAGCCATGGAGGCAGAGAACGGAATGAAAGCAGCACCAATTGATAGGGTTTTGGAAGAATTTGCCCCACTTCGAACGTGAGGGAAGCTCTAGAAAGATGAGATAAAGATGTGAGTTCTTTTTTCCTCCCCTTCACATTCATACTATAATGATATTTATAAGAAATATTTAACAGAAAACGATTACGCCAGAGAGGCAAGTGATCAATATGCGTAAATAACTAAAGCTGTGCATGAGTGGCTGCTATTTTCTGAACCAAATGGATTTGATAATATTCCTTCATGGTCATGGTATCCCCTATGGCAGAGCAAGGTTATCAGGCCGTTGCCGCTCGTGTGAGAGATCACGGGTACCAGGTGCGCCCCTCCTATCACAGTTACGTTAAAGATGTCTTACTTTTCAGTGGCAAAACACGAACCAGATGCACCGTATATTTCGCCAAGAATGAGTTATTCCATTTCCTGTTTTTCCATTTTACGCATAGCCATGCACAAATTACTACCTGTACACTAAATGCAAATTGGAAGATCCAATCAATTGAACTTCTATTGGTAAATTCTTTTCAAATACGTAATACATGGATAAAGGTAATCATTATTTTAAATAAATACAACTGACATTTGACAAATTCAAAATTTGAAAAAAAATACACTCATCCTCTCCATGCTTATGTGCATTTCGAGCATTCACTGGACATCAGAAAACCTGTTGCCTTCAATATCTGTTAACAAAAACAAAGAAACTCTGCTCCTGCTTTCCCATTAACCGGGCCCAACAGATTGTCTTAAAACTAGATCGTCTTTCCAATGGTTGAAGCTAAATTACATAAACACTTTTGCATATCCACATGTATGCTTTCCTGGAAAAAAGTTGGGAATTGCCTGAAGATATGCTTTCCAGTAAAAAATGTCAGTGATCTGCTCTACTTGGTATTATGTGTTGGCACACTAAGGTAAAACTTGGTATTCTTGAAATCATCCAGAAGTGGATTGTACCCATCCTTGGTTCTTGTCTTTGATGGGAGGCCAAATTCTTCCATGAAAGATGCTGTATCAAGCTACAGAAAGAGATGCAGTTTTGAGGGAAGTATATATACAATGATACCATCAAATAAAAAGAAAATTAGCAACTAAGAACTTGGAAAAATAAATATCACTTGTGACAAAGTTTAAGCAAAACAAACATTTTTAATACCTCGTGAAAAGAATGTATTCATTTTTCCTTCAAAAGGAGTTTACAAGCTGAGTTTCTTCTCGGTAATGAGGAGAAATGTGACTAATTTACTCAGGAGTTGCTAAATCTTTTCTTTTTTATCTTTTTTTTTTCTTGCATAAAACTCTTGAAAGTATTGCTTTCACTATATATAGATGGCATTTTGAGAAGGTGGAAATCAATAGAATAAACTGTCCTCTTTCAGAAAGCCATTATTCCTGACAATTTTGTAAAATAGCTAACTCATATTAAATTTATTTACTTTCAATGTTGAAAGTTCATATCTTCTTGGTGTGAGTTCAAACTTTCAGTCAGGGGAGAATATAACTCTAATTATTCTTCTCTTCTTCTCCTGTTTTGATGACATGTCTTTCTGCATCTTCATCCATCCAGAGCAGTAATGGTCCATGCGTTCTAGGAGCCAGAAGTCTGTTGGAAAAAATATATTAGCATCACCCTGCCACCAGGAAAGACTTGAAAACCTTAGGAACTAGCATGGGCTATCTGGACCAACTTGCAAGATTATTATTACCCTTAGTACCTAAAACTGGGACATGATTTAGCAAGATTATACAGCAATGACCTTGGGAACAAGGTTAGGTTACTATGAGCATATTTTAAGAACACCAACTTAAGTGGAGAATATCATTGCATTAGTGCATTTGATATTTAATAATGTCATGTGATCTCAGTAGGCAGATAATATTTTCAATTCAAATCAAATTTAAAGATATTGCAAAACTAATCACTGATAAAATAACTGCAGATAAAGGGTATGGGAAATTTTAGTAGCACTATTGCTAACTGGATGATAAAGAAATACTTTACAAAGTAAACAGTAAAAACTTCAATTTGTTTTCTTTTTGTAAATGACAAAATTGTAACTCAAATGCCAATAAATGTTAAAAACAAAACTCAATGAATAAATTGTAAATTAGACGATAAGGATTTTCATCAATTTTGTTATGCTACAGAATTTTCTGTTTATCACATATCCAGTGTTTGTGTAATTATTGTTTAATCTTCCCAAATTTGGCATCTGTAACCACTTGTACTAAACCCAAAACAACCTTAATAAATTCCCCAATAATTAAAACCCAAAAAAAGTTATCAGTCAAAGTAATGGTCAATAAGAAAAGGAGAAGAGTTTCCCTGCAAGCACAACTTTAAAGTGTACCACTCTATACATCCAAAGGTCAAACCAGTTTGATGCAAAAAACCAGGTTTGGATACCAAAGGAGAATCACCTGAGCGGAAATATGGAGTTTCCAAGACACCACAATAGCATCATAGATCCCCTAAATGTCATTTTGCAATGGATCAGATTATAAACGGATTCAGACTATCTTGGCACATGATGAATTTATAGAGAATGGCAATACCACCATGACTAAGATTAATGCTCAATATCTTATCCAGAAATTGGAAAAGCTGATGAGGGACTTTTTATGGGAGCTAGGAGAGGAAAAGTGGGACCATAGGATGCGTGGGAAGTGGTTACTAGAAGCAAGAAACAAGGAGGTCTTGGGATCAGAAATATAAGAAAAAGAAATATGGCTTTATTGGGGAAGTGGTTATGGAGGTTCCCTTTAGAGAAGGATAAGTTGTGGGCTAAGATAGTGGCTAGCATTTATGGTTGGGAGGACAATGGCTGGGATCCTGGAATTCTGACAAGGACTACTAGTGCTTCTCTGTGGAAAGCCATACATGACCTTCTACCAGTTTTCTCCCCTTGGGTCAGGTATGATTTGAACTCAGGAAATCTCATTAAATTTTGGGAACAAACTTGGGTGGGGGATACTCTCTTAATGTACCAATTCCCTTCTTTGTATGCTCTCCCTGACTTGAAAAATGAGACCATTTCTTCCTTCCTAGTTCCTTCTGATTTTGCCTCAGGATTTGGGTGGAATTTGGGATTGAGAAGGGCTGTCAGGGATACAGATTTGGGTAACATTTCGAACCTTTTGGCCATACTTGAAAACGTTTTCTTGGATCCCTCAAAGGAGGACAGCAGATTTTGGACCCCCTCACCCTCGGGCTCGTTCTCTTGTGCATCTCTATTCAAAACCTTAACTCAGCAACCTGCTCTTCCTGGTTTGTCTTTCCCTATTAAAGAGGTCTGGTGCAAGCCCATTCCTCCTTGGGTTGGGAGTTTTTATTGGGAAACTTTCCTGAAAAGAATCAACACAAGTGATCTGCTTCAAAGATAGAGACCCAAGACTTGTTTATCCCTGCATAGGTGTATTCTCTGCAAGGCAGATGGGGAATCTGGTTAACACCTTTTGGTATTTTGCCGCTATGTTAAAACTGTATGGGCGTGGTTTTTCTCACTTTTTGGGTGTACCTGGAACCCTCGAATGAATGTGCAAAGTTTGTTTTCCCCTTCCTTATTCAGCTGGCCAATGAAAAGAGGAAGGATCATGTGGAGGTGTTTAAGGGCTGCGGTGTGTTGGACCTTATGGGAAGAAAGGAAATCAAGAATTTTTTCAGAACAAGAAAGAAGCATTGAGAACCTGATAGAGTTGATTCACATTAGGATGGCATATTGGCTGAAATCTCTGGATTTATTCACAGACTTCACTGTGGATGACTTGTTGAGAAGTTAAAAAGGACACAAGTCCCTCTTGGATACCTCCCCCCTTGGGCTTCTTAAAACTTAATTTTTTTTTTTTATCAATAACACTTTCATTAAATCATCAATAGAAGATTTACAAAAGGAAGACAAACAAGCTTATCTTCCAAGAGCAACAAAGAACCTCAAGAAAAGGAAAAAAAGAAAAAGAAAAGAAAGAAAGAAAGAAAGAAAACACACTACAGTTACAGCTTGGCCCAAAAAAATGAGTCCCTTTCTACCCCTTGTTTAGCTAAACTGTTAGCTAGGGAATTAGCCGATCTTTTAACCCAACATATCTTAACTTCCATTTCCCGCACCAGCCACTTAAATTTCCTCCTCTCATTATTGTACTTCCATAAACCATTGTGATCTTTAAGCAGCCACCCTATCACCACCTCTGAATCCCCTTCAATTAAGAGTTTCCTGATGTCCAACTCCTTAGCTTTTTGGACTCCTTCCATAATTGCAAAGATCTCAGATCTAAGGGAGTCACCCACTCCAATTGAGCCTGAGAACATGGCAGAAATGACCCCATTTTCATCCCTAAAAACACCCCCAATCCCTGATTGTCCTGGATTCCCCTGCTACACCCGTCAAAGTTTAGTTTCACGAAACCACTAGGTGGAGGGGTCCAAACCACACACATTACTGACTTAGTTTGTGTGCAACTTGCAATTTCACCCCACTTCCTCAACAAGTCATCCACAGTGTAATCTGTGAAAAGCTCCAAAGATTTCAGCCACTGTACCGCCCTAAATTGAATGATAGCCCTTAGATCTACTGCTCCTCTCTGAGCTTCTGAGAATATCCTAGAGTTTCTTTCTTTCCAAAGTGTCCAACGCATTGCAGCCCTTAGTCCTCTCCACATTGTCCTTCCCCTTTTTATCCGCCACTTGAAAAAAGAAGGGGAAAAAAGGCCTTGCAAGTCTGATGGGGGGTTCCAACTGCAACCAAAAAAGGACAAAGCCCATTCCCAAATTAATCTCGCAAAATGGCAAGACACCAGTAGGTGAAAACTAGTCTCCCCATCCGCTTTACAAAGAACACACCACTGAGGTGGATATTGGGGGAGTATTCAGGAATGAAGAGGGGATTATTTCAGCCATCTACTCAAGCCCTATTGGAGAGGGTGACTAAGGGCTGAGCTCATGGCAGCCTTGGAAGGAGTTCAAAGTGCAAGGGAGTTGAACATTAGGAGACTAATAATGGAAGGGGACTCGAAGGTGGTAGTAAGATGGCTAAAGGAAGACAAGACTGCTATGTGGAATTACAGCAATGAAAGGAAAAAAAATTTAATTGGCTGGCAAAAGATATTGAAATAAAATTCAGTTGGGTGAAGAGATCTGCTAATTCATTTGCGGATGGGGTTAGCAAAGCAAGGGGTGATTAGGGATTCTTTGTTTTGGGCTCATTTCTAATCCTGTAATTTTGTTTTGTTGTTTGCAAGGGAGTTAAGATAGCTTACCTCCCTTTGCTTGTATGCATACTTCTTATTTAATCTTAATGAAATTCTTGGTTATTGATTAAAAAAAATATCTTATCCAGAAATGCTAGCCACAAAAGGCCCTCACCCTAAACATTCTAGAAAAAAAAACACTCACAAACAAAAATACTGTCGTTAATGGGTTGTGTCTAGGCTGGGTCAGAACCTATAGGGCCTGTAAATAATAGACACAGAAGTAACCCTATTATTATTGGGCTTATTGTAACTGAACAATAAGACCCAATTATAAAAGATGGACCTTTAGCCTCATATTTGACAATAAACCTATTAATTCTCTTGCTCTCTTACCAAAACATCTTATATATCCCCTACAAAATTACAATCTTAGACATCTTATATGGAAGCATTACAGGTAAACATTGATGAACATTTATAATCAGGAATCAAAATGCATACTCAGACCATGTAAAACGGCTAGATTAACTCAGAACCCAGAGCCTTTTTTTACCTGAGAGGAACAGGCCATTTGTATGCCTGCTAATGTCATTTATTAGTTTCTTGTGTGCCAATTACATGAGTTTACTCCACCCCCTAATATTTTATTAAGAGAGTATTTAAACATAACAATAAAAAGACAGATATTTCATGTTCTATCAGAACCTACCTTTTTTTAACCTGAAAACGGGTCATTTGTAATCCTGCCGATGCCATTCATTAATTTCTTGTGTGCCAATTACATGAGGTTATTCCACCCTCTGTTCTTTATTTTATATAAAAGGTAAAATTACAAGAGTTACCCTGCAGCTACACATGGCCAAGTATTTGATAGTAACTTCCAATTCTATTTTTTTATTGGTAACCTTTTGATTATAGAAAAATGGTTTATGAACAAATCATGCGAAGAATCCCAAATTTTGGCTGGGAGACACCACTCAACCCTTAGTTTTTCCACCACATTTCATTTACAAGCAAATGCCCCCCAGAGTAACCGAACCCTTTCTGCCCCTTGTTTGGCCATAGAGTCAACCAAGTTGTTTGAAGATCTATGAGTCCAAGATCCTTGATGATTGTTCTTTAGCCATCTCATGAATAAAAAGCCAGGCATTCATGGCAGTAACAGTAAACCCTTAAAAGGACTAATTGTTTAAGTCATAGCTGGGACGAGAAAGAAATCTACATTGCTATCATAAAGAAAATAATCATGCATTCATTGCATTCGCATAAATCATTTATCAAGAGAGGAAAAAAGGAAGATTAGGAAATCTAATAAAAAATAACCAGAGAGGAAATTAGAAATGGAAGATAGAAAAGGGAAACCTTTTGCATCTAGATAGCTGCTATGATCCAAACTGCTGCCATCCTTCTGGAGAGTTAAAAGAAACAATGTAAATCATACTTGTTAAATCTGTCTACCAAAAGCCAACAACACAACATAAAACAAAGGCAGAATTACAGCCTTTATCATTCTATGAGAGTAAAGAATCCAGAGATATGAAACAAATTTGAAAATAATTAAGTTTATAGATAAGGCCCAACTAAGTTGCTTTTCTTATTCTTCTGTAAATTGATGGTTTTCATCATATGAGTTTTGAGAATTGATCTTTCTTTTCATCAAAGTAAGAAAAAGGAATGAGATGCAAGGGCTGTCCTATAAAAAGAAAGGAAGAACAGCTAACAAATCCATGGAAAGAAAAGCCGAGTAGATACTATAATCACAAACTTCAGTAGAGAATAGCAAGCCAAAATTAAAACCTAACCTTCATTTCTGGTTTCTGATACAATCCTCAAAACCCAATAATCAATTATTTGCACCTGCTTCTCATCCATAATAATTAAGGAAAAAGATACAGTAATAGACAAGTTTGGTAGAAAAGTTTCTCCATGAGCAGACTGCTACGTTCTTCATTTACAACACCAATCACAATATCCAAAAGAAATAATGTCACTGCCTTTAACTCTCAGCCGGTATATGCTAACTCCCCAGCTCCTAAGAGGAAGAGTTATAATAGTAAACATTTATATTCAAGTGAAGCTGTCAACCCGTCTTTGTATATTCTTGTGCTTCAATTAGATCTGAAGCCTTTACATTTCTTGTGCTTCAATGGGGGGAAGCCTTTACATTTCTTTATCCTAAAGTCTTGTTCCACATTTGACAGGTTCCAAAGTGCAAACCATTGTGAATGATCCTTTAAGTTTAAAAAAAATATATCAAGTAGCATTTCTATGTTTCGTTGTTGATGTATCTGATGAATCAACAAATCATCTTGATCTAAACATTGGGGAGTCAAACTATTCTATACATGGCTAGACAGTATAACAATATAAATACACCATTGGTGTCCTAACTACAGGGCCTTTCTTGAAATAGCATTAAAAAGGAAATCTGGGCCAAAAGACAGGAAACTGTGACACCAAAATCTGGGCCAAAAGACAGGAAATCTCCATGAGCAGACTACATTCTTCATTTACAACACCAATCACAATATGTAAAAGAAATAATGCCATTGCCTTTAACTCTCAGCCGGTCTATGCTAACTCCCCAGCTCCTAAGATGAAGAGTTATAAAAGTTTCGTCTGATCATCAAAGTGTAAACATTTATATTCATGTGAAGCTGTCAACTCATCTTTGTATATTCTTGTTTTTCAACTAGATGTGAGAAGACACAAAGTATAAAAGTTCAATAACTAAAAAAACAAGAAAAAAAGGTGTACAACACTACGACTGCTATTTGCAACCAGCAACAAGGAAGATTACAGGATCAAATCAGAACATTATGTCAGATGAGTATAGTTTACCCACTTCAAGGCCTCTAGTGAGCCCCATCAAATCACGTTCTAATTATAGTTAGTGCCAAGAATCATAAATCAGGAAACGTTGACCAGCTTTGCACGCCGAGTCTTCTGGTCCACCTCTACCCGTAAACCAAGACCAGAAATTTCAGGAATATCAACAGAACCTTGAAGCTCCAGTTCTGCTACTACCCTTTGATTTTCTGCATTTCCCTCTAATAAGTTCCTTATTGACCAGATGCCCCATTCTCTCAAGAAGGGGTTATCTTCATCAGTAACACATTGTTGCATTAACAAAAGAATTCCATTGTTCTTCCTAATTAAGTCTTGCACATACTTCCTTCGATACAAACAATTGCCAATGACTGCAACAATGTCTCTTCGAAATCCTTTGTAGGGGCAAACCTTTGGTGAATCAGAAGATGATGGCCCTTCTTGGGTCTCTACTTTCTTGATTGACTTCCTGATTATTGCGGGTGGCTCAAGGTCACGAAGCAAATCTAACATCAGTTCTATGAGCCCAGAAGACAATAGGGTACTGACAACATCCACTGAGTTTTCTTCTTTAGAACTTCTCATATCTTCCCGAGCACAAATATCTCTTAGAATGGTGATTGAGTATCCAAGAACATCAATTGTGGCAAAACCCGTTGGAAGACCAGATTTGCCTCTTGAGCAAGAATCAATGACTACAACAGATCTCCTCAGTATTTCAAGAACACAAAATGCAAAATCATTTGAAACAATAATCTCTTCAATTTTCTGATTCAAAACCTCTGAAAGGGTACTCAACAAGAACACCTCAGCAGCTGTGAAAAGGGAATCACCATGATCAACATCACCACCAATAATGGTAGACTGGGCTGAGCTTAACTTAGAAAACAATTGAGGGAAGTGGTTATCTTCAAAGAAGACTCTCGAAAGAAGCAGCTTCAACCAGTCTTCTCTGAATCCAACTGGAAAAACCAAAATAAAAGAGGAAATATAAAAGACCCAATTTTCATATTTGGCTTGCAAAATGGAATAACTAAGAAATAAGAATGTAGAGACTACAGTTCATGGTTAAAGCAAAGAACCATATAACAAAATCACACATTTAAAGCAAAGAAAAGCAAACCTGTTGAAGCAGTCCTGATAATTTCCGCTACAATAGGCAACCCTTGAATCCCACAAAGCTCTCCAATGCGTTCATGGCTTCCATTACAACAGTTGTACAGAACCATAGACAGGGCATCAGAAATCTCAGGCCTTCGAATACTCGCAATCTCCACAAACCAAACAGGGAAGAACTGACCCCAAATTGCAGACCTATGTTCTTCTCCGGCCAAGGAGACATTCCCCAGAACCTGTAATCCAATACGAAAGATTCCATAATCCGGATTGGAACCTAACCCTACAGACTTTAAAGCAAGCAAGATGATCTTAACACCATTTTCGTTGATGAAAGAGTTCTGGTTCACGATTTCTCCAGCGCAGAGGTTCCTGAGTAGTCTGAGAGACAAGGCGAGAAGGTGAGGTGCTGAGGAGTTAGAAAGGAGTTGAGAGAGTTGTAGACCCACAAGGAGAATGTTGTGGGAAGCGAGGTCAGAGCGGCCATGGGCAGTTCTAGCTGCTTCTAGGAGACACTCTAGGGCTTCGTCTAAACGAGACGAATTTGCAGCTATAAGCAATGGTTGTAGGATGCTTTCAGGTACAGAAAACTCCATCGGCAGCGTATCCTCCATTTTAACCTGAAAGGTTACTCTGCAAAGAGGTTTATCATGAATGAAAAGGGGATGTCAATGTATCAGGTTCATTGTGGGTTTGAATCGAACCAACCCGGTCCAGAGTTGCACCAACCCAAAAGGGCTGGCCCAATCCATCCCATATACAGTAAACTATAATCAATCAAGCCTATATACACAAATATTTCAACGACGCAATGTCAATGGGTCGGGTCTAGCACAGGTTTATCATCAACCTGACCCAAAACAAGTTTAAAGTAGGCATCAGTGGGGGTTACCAGTTACCACTTTATACAATCCACTGACATCCCTAAATCGGATCGGACATCCACCCGGTAAGCAGAGGCTCACGGGTTAAAAGGTTCAGTCGAGAACTTGAGATTGAATTAGAGGTCGAATCATGCTGATGTAATAAATAATATATACATATATTCAAAAAAATACTAAATATAAAAAAAACTAATTCAAAATAATTCAATATAAAAATAAAATAACAATTCAATCTTTCAAAGTTAAGACAATTTAAACAAATACATCAACAAACAAAGTTTAAAGCTCAATTTTAACAAATTAAATAGTATAAAATTATAAATTAAACACAATTATTTATCCTAATTTTTAAATTATAATATATAATTGTTTAATTTATTTTTACAAAATTCAAAATATAATATCAATTTATTGAAGTTTAAATTTCACTATTTCTGCATTTTTGTTCCAAGCTTTGAAGGGGGGCTTAAGCTAACCTGGAACTGAACAAGTAGGTGGGTCGTCTTGTCTATTGTGCAAGAATTTGGTGAATTGGAAGCATGAAACAAAGATCAATCGAATTTGACTAAACCTGTAAACAAAACTAATGAATGTTAACAAGTTTTCGAATTCATAAATTAAAAATAAATATTTAAATTTTAAAATAAAAGAAATTAACAAACTTTCGAATTCAGAAATTAAAAATAAAATAAATTGCTGGACATTGCAGAAACAGGCGTGAGGCGGTGGGAGGAGGAGGAGAAGAAGGAGAAGGAAATAGGAGAATAGAGGAACCACTGTCACGCAAGTGGCGGTGAACAGACCACCGCCGGAGAAGAGAGAGTACCTGGCGTCGCCGGCTACTGCTTGAGGCGGTCGACGGCGAGGCGGCGAGGCAGCGAGTCCCGACTGTTGCTAGCGGTGGAGGAGGCGATGTTCGGTGATGGCTGGAGTTCGAACGAAAGAGAAAGAGTAACGGGGGTTTGTGGTTTTTGATTTTGCGCAAATTTCTTAAATTATTCCTATTGTTTATTTAATTTACTAACTCTACCTTTATTGTTTTAATGTCTTTTTTGCCCTTAAGAGAAAAATCCTTCTTCCTTGTTTCATGTCTTCTCTCTTACCATCCTCCCCTGTTTTGAACGTTCAAAGTATTTGAACCGGCCGGAGGTCGATTCTTCTCGCAGCGGCATGAGTTTGAGTTGTGATGTGCAGATCGGCCAACTAAACTCCATTTCCGGACCAGAGGTCTGAGATTTGGACTGTATCTATTGCTATGTGCAGCATGAGTCTCGACCTGTACTCCCCCCATCCTTTCTTGTTTCTTGTTCATCATGGAGGTCAGCCATTCGCGAAACACTGAAGCGTCCTAGCTTTCCTTAAATCGCTTTTCCTAAATCTAACAGATAGTCTCTACTTAGAGACTGCCGACAGCAATAACAACAACTTCATCATGGCGATGAGCCATTTGGAGATGGAACAGTGGAAGTGTCCTGCCTTTATTCCCTAAATCCAATCAATAGCCTCGACTTACTTAGAGACCACCGACAACAATAGCAGCAGCTTCGTCATGGTGGTCGACCATTTGGAGACGGAACAGTGGCGGCCATAGCAGTCAACCATTTGGCATAACATCAACTACCCCATCAATTATTGCAACTCCATTAATCGTTGTAACTTCATTAATCAACTCTCTTGATCTCCTTCTTCTATATCTTTTAGTGATAAAAAAAAAATTAAAAATATCAAATCGAAGTTAGACAGGGAGTGGAACAGTTGTGCCGCCAGCTACAGTCAGGGTTCGGGTTGGAGAAGCATGAAGGGTAATATTGGGTTTTAAAAAGAATTTATACCTCATGTAGTGTGTTGTGTGTATGGATTTTGACAAAGACTAATAGATGATAATAACAGGGGTAGAACTAGTCAATTGTCAAGAGCAATAGGGGTGGTGGAAGACAATAATTAAGCATTTAGGTTAGTAAATTAAGACTTAAGTTTTGTTTGGTTGGCCGGTCCCAAGTTGATCCAGATGGGTGGGCGGTTTTTTATGATTTTTTTCATAAGTCTTAGGTCACAATTCGATCGGTTCAATTGGTTGATCTAGTCTGGTTTTCAGAGAAAATGTTTTTGTAAGCAATAAATTCACATGTGCCGCTTTACTCAAAAAATAAATAAAAAATTTACACGTGCCAAGTGCACAAAGAGTCAACTTTTTTTTACCCACAAAGAGTACACATGTGAGATCACTTTGCTATTTGGAAAAAACAGCCAACGCTATTTTGGGAGCCTTTGCACATTTATTACACCTTAACTAATTCAGATCCTCATTTGTCTTTTCAATTAAAAAAGTATCAAGTATAAATATTATTGGGAGAATGACCGATAACCCCAGGGTCAGAATTTGTAGGTTCAAAGTACATTTGGGGTAGGTTCCAGCTTGGAATTGATGCCAATTCACAAGTAGATATGGGTGCATAGAGTGTGGTTTTTGGACCTTCTGAATGTTTATAGCTTTGTAGTTTGAATAAAAAATCTACATTAGGCCAGCCCGTATTTTTCCGAATATTATTTGACCTACACTCATTAGGAGATGCCATTTACATCAGGCTCCCAAAACAACTTAGATTGTATTTTACAAACAGCAAAAGTTTTTCCTCTCAAAGTGGGTGTTTGGCATCAATGCATTTCAAAAGGGTTCTATTTCACAAGTGGGCTCTAATTCATAAGTGTTTTGTAATCTTTTTTTTTAACACAAAAAATCAGGATGTAGGCTAATGTTTAACATGTAAGAAGAGAGGTTATATTATTCAAGAAAAATAAATTTAATGTTACCATTATAAAGGATTACTTTCACACAACTTCCAATGACAATTATAATTTTTTTTTTATTTCTTTAGTACAGAAATGAACAATATATGCAAATTTGTCCCACAAAATGAACCTTATTGGAATCAACATGTCATCAACTAAACATTTCATCACAAATAAAAAATGTTTAAATAAGTAAATATTAAACACTATACAAAAGCATATTAAATAAACACACTATTGATCTAATAAAAGAATTTCTTTTTTTCTTTTTAATTTGGATACACTAGATAAGTATCACCTACACAAATGATTGCTTCAATGACATCTATGTTAGATACAAATGTTAGAAAAAAGACATATTTTTTAATATATTTAAGAAAAGAATAAACTGAAATATATCTATAAAAACCTTTTTGTTTACATATTCTAGAATATGATCAAACTTAACAAAATTGTACTTGTCTAAGGGGATTTCTTTACAGTTGTCAATACTATAGATAATTTTTGTATTTTTAGTGAATTGCAATTTTATATTAATACACATTAAGATATAGATAGAATCAGCACAATCAATCATCAACCCTCAAATGCAATATGCTATACCCTCATTTAACTCATTCCAAAATGATTCAATTTCTGCACTATAAATTTTGACTTCAATATCATCCCCCTATAAATATAAAAAATAATAAATTTATTGAATGAATATTAACTATAATTATGTAATAACCTTTAAATATGTAAAAACATACCTAAGAGTCAATAAATATAAATTTGCACATTTTCTAAATATTATCTTYTTTTTGTAAAGTGCGGATATCCAATTTTCTGATAAAATAACCTTTGATGTCCTAATACTTTTTAATAAAATTCATTTTAAAAATTAAGGTTGGATAAAATGGCATTCTATTAACATAATTTTTATTGTAAGAACAAAATGAAAGTAATCAAATGGTATATACATAATAGAGTAGATTCATCTTTGTGCTTTGTGCTTGACATTATTGTATCTAGAAGACTAGAACTTCATAACTTCCGTAATCTAAAAATTTGGGATAAATTACAGTTCTGTTTGATTAAAGTTTCTACATTGAAGTATTACAAGTATGTAGCATTGAAAATCTGTGTCTACCTTCAAAACAACTAGTGTGGAATTATCATTAAAATAGTAAAGGTTACTGAAATTTTCTGTTGTATCCAAATAAATAGAAGTTGTTGATATTCAAGCTCAATTTAAAGTTAGCAAGCCTGAGAATGTGGGTTAAGTCGGGTGTGATGAATTTGTGCATAAAATGATATGCATCGAGGAAGAAGCTAACGTGGCAGAGGGGACCATCTGACTAGACATTCGAAGGACGAGATGTTAGGAATTTTAGAGGCCATGCTTTGACGAAACAATTAATTGGCAAAGAAAATTCCAAAAATCATTAGATGTTATAACAACCTTTAATTTTCCTTTTTTGTCCTGTGATCATGTGGCCATGGCCTATATATGTGTGTAATGTTTTAATTGAGGTGGACATGAATGAGAATACTTAAGTTACCTTTCGGCAAATTCCTTCTGTGAGCTGGGCAAGGGCACTATAGCTCGAGGGAAAAATGACGAGGATAGGTTGATATCGGTTTGGTATTAAGGGTTCAATATCTAACAATATTCAGCTAACCAACCTCCATATAGTTGGACRAGGGTTAGTTTAGTAAAGGAAAAATAAAATGGACAATAGCAGTATAACACATTGATGAYAAGTCAATGTTTGAATGCAGCAGCCACACAAGAATTTAAGGTGCCTTCACCAACATTGGCTGCACATTAAATCCAAAACTCAAAACAGTTACGTTAACGATGTTTTACTTTTGAGAAAGTGTACTTTCACATTTAACAAAACAAGAACCAAAGATATCGTTGGTCCACGTCTTTTGCTGCATGCTGCAGCAGATGCACCGTATATTGTTCCAAGAATGAGTTATTCCCTTTCCTGTTTTTCCATTTTGCACATAGCCATGCACAAATTACTGCCTGTACACTAAATGCAAATTGGAAGRTCCAATCAATTGAACTTCTAATGGTAAATTCTTTTCAAATACGTAATACATGGATTAAGGTAATCRTTATTTTAAATAAATACAACCGACATTTGACAAATTTGAAAAAAAATACACTCATCCTCTCCATGCTTATGTGCATTTCGAGCATTCACTGGACATCAGAAAACCTGTTGCCTTCAGTATCTGTTAACAAAAACAAAGAAACTCTGCTCCTGCTTTTCCATTAACCGGGCCCAACTGATTGTGTCTTAAAACTGGATCGTCTTTCCAATGGTTGAAGCTAAATTACATAAACACTTTTGCATATCCACATGTATGCTTTCCTGGAAAAAAGTTGGGAATTGCCTGAAGATATGCTTTCCAGTAAAAAATGTCAGTGATCTGCTCTACTTGGTATTATGTGTTGGCACACTAAGGTAAAACTTGGTATTCTTGAAATCATCAAGAAGTGGATTGTACCCATCCTTGGTTCTTGTCTTTGATGGGAGGCCAAATTCTTCCATGAAAGATGCTGTATCAAGCTACAGAAAGAGAGGCAGTTTTGAAGGAAGTATTTATACAATGATACCATCAAATGAAAAGAAAATTACCAACTAAGAACTTGGAAAAATAAATATTACTTGTGACAAAAATTTTAAGCAAAGCAAACATTTTTAATACCTCGTGAAAAGAATGTAATCATTTTCCCTTCAAAAGGAGTTACAAGCTGAGTTTCTTCTCAGTAAGGAGGAGAAATGTGAGTAAATACTCGGGGGTTACTAGATCTCTTTTTTTATCTTTTTTTTTTTCTTGCATAAAACTCTTGAAAGTATCACTTCCACTATATATAGATGGTATTTTGAGAAGGTACAAATCAATAGAATAAACCCTGCCCTCTTTCAGAAAGCCATTATTCCTGACAATTTTGTAAAATAGCTAATTCATCATGTTAAATTTATTTACTTTCAATGTTCATATCTTCTTGGTGTGAGTTCAAACTTTCAGTCAGGGGAGAATATAACTCACAATAATTGTTCTTCTCTTCTTCCCCTGTTTTGATGACGTGTCTTTCTGCACCTTCATCCATCCAGAGCAGTAATGGTCCATGCGTTCTAGGATCCAGAAGTCTGTTGGAAAAAATATATCAGCATCACCCTGCCACAAGGAAAGACTTGAAAACCTTAGGAACTAGCATGGGATATCTGGACCAACTTGTAAGATTTTTATCTTAGTACCTAAAACTGGGACATGATTTAGCAAGATGATACAACAATGACCTTGGGAACAAGGTTAGGTTACTATGAGCATGTTTTAAGAACACCAACTTAAGAGGAGAATATCATTGCATTAGTGTATTTGATATTTAGTAATGTCATGTGATCCAGTAGGCAGAAAATATTTTCAATTCAAATCAAATTTAAAGATATATTACAAAACTAATCACTGAGATAAAATCACTGCAGATAAAGGGTATGGGAAATTTTAGTAGCACTATTGATAACTGCATGATAAAGAAATACTTTACAAAGTAAACAATAAAAACTTGATTTTTTTTTTCTTTTTGAAAATGATAAAATTGTAACTCAAATGCCAATAAATGTTAAAAACAAAACTCGATGAATAAATTGTGAATTAGACGATAAGAACTTCCATCTATTTTTGTTATGCTTCAGCATTTTATGTTTATCATATATCCTGTGTTTTTGTAATTATTGTTTTTATCTTCCCAAGTTTTGCATCTGTAACCACTTATATTAAACCCAAAACAACCTTAATAAATTCCCAAATAATTAAAACCAGAAAAAAGAAACAAGTTATCTGTCAAACTAATGGTCAATAAGAAAAGGAGAAGAGTTTCCCTGCAAGCACAGCTTTAAAGTGTACCACTCTATACATCCAAATGTCAAACCAGTTTGACACAAAAAACCAGGCTAGGATATCAAAGGAGAATCACCTGAAAGGAAATATGGAGCTTCTAAGACACCACAATAACATCATAGATCCCCTAAATGTCATTTTGCAATGGATCAGATTATAAACACGGATTAAGACTATCTTGGCACATGATGAATTTATAGAGAATGGCTACACCACCTGTCTAAGATGATTAATGCTCAATATCTTATCCAGGAATGCTAGCCACAAAAGGCCCTCACCCTAAAAATTCTGGAAAAAAAAAAACTCAAACAAAAATACTGTCGTCAATGGGTTGTGTCTAGGCTGGGTCAGCTTGGAGTGGTAAGAAAACAGCCAACACCCAGATATTTCATGTTCTATCAGAACCTAGAGCCTTTTTTTTTACCTGAAAACAGGTCATTTGTATGCTTGCCGATGCCATTCATTAATTCCTTGTGTGCCAATTACATGAGGTTATTCCACCCTCTGTTCTTTATTTTATATAAAATGTAAAATTACAAGAGTTCCGCTGCAGCTACACATGGACAAGTATTTGATAGTAATTTCCAATTATTTTTTTTTATTGGTAACCTTCTGATTATAGAAAAACGGTTTATAAGCAAATCATGCAAAGAATCCCAAATTTTGGCTGGGAGACACCACTTGACCCTTAGTTTGTCCAAAACATTTCATTTATAAGTAAATGCCCCCCAGAGTAACCAAACCCTTTCTGCCCCTTGTATGGCCATAGAATCAACCAAGTCGTTTGAAGATCTATGAGTCCAAGTTCCTTGATGATTGTTCTTTAGCCATCTCACCACCACTTCTTGATAGTTTTCGTCCCTATCAGAATGAAATCCATAATGCTCTCATGAATAAAAAGTCAGGCATTCATGGCAGTAACAGTAAACCCATAAAGGACTAATTATTTAAGTCATAGCTGGGATGAGAAAGAAATCTGCATTGCTATCAATAAAGAAAATAATCTTGCGTTCATTGCATTCACCATTAATCAATTATCAAGAGAGGAAAAAAAGAAGATTAGGAAATGTAATAAAAAATAACCAAACAGAGAGGAAATTAGAAAAGGAAGGTAAAAAGACAAACCTTTGCATCAATGTAGCTGCTATGATCTAAACTGCTGCCATCTTTCTGGAGAGTTAAAAGAAACAATGTTAATCATACTTGTTAAATCTGTCTACCAAAAGCCAACAACACAAAATTGTTAATGTAAAACGAAGGCAGAATCACAGCCTTTATAATTCTATTAGAGTAAAGAATCCAGAGATATGAAACAAATTCGAAAATAATTAAGTTTATAGATGAGATCCTTATTCTTCTGTAAGTTGATGGTTTTCTTCATACGAGATTGAGAATTGTTCTTTCTTTTCATCAAAGTAAGAAAAGGGAATGAGATGCAAGGGCTGTCCCATAAAAGAAAGGCAGAACAGCTACCAAATCCATGGAAAGAAAAGCTGAGTAGATACTAAAATCACAAACTTCAGTAGAGAATAGCAAGCTAAAATTAAGAAACCTAAACTTCATTTCTGGTTTCTGATAGAAGGAATAAACTGATTAATAAGTAGAAACTATCTAATAACTATGAGCAAGAAAGATAATATACCTTGGTTGAAACTAAAGGAGCTCTATCACCAGCTATTCTCACATCAGGAAGGTAACTGAAGTCAGATGCAATTAGAGACATTTTTGGTAGAGCCCCATGTAGAACCTCAAGAAGTTGCTGCACATTCAAGATGAATTTTATTCTGAAAGTACACAAGTTCAAAAAAAAAAAAAACAAGTATTAGAAGGTTCCATTACCAAGCAACCAGTTGGTATCCAAGACCTTCGAGGCTTAGGAAAAATTTTTGACCAAATGCTTCTTGCTGCTGAAACTGCACTACTTCCAATAGAGACATGTTCCTTGTCCATCTCTATTATCTCGACACAACGCTTTATTAGTGGATCTTTTAATGGCTTATACAATTCAGAGAGGCATGAGCTACCATGGAAAAAAAAAACATTTGAGGTAAGTAACATTGTTGCCCAATGGACAATCTATGTGTGTGTGTGAAGTTGCAAAAACGTAGATAATGAATTTTGGAGATTATTTTCTTCTATGTAATGTAGAAGTATCCTCAAGAATTAGTGGGGTGCCAGACTATGATGCATGTCCAACAGACATCTATTTAGGAGAGCCCATGCAACACTGGCTGGAAGTCCTATATCAATTTGGTATAAAAACAATCAGTCCTTCATCTTGAGGTTTCTTGTTCATGTAAAAAAAAAATAGAGCCTGAACCAGAACATAAGCAAGGGAGTAACAAAAGAATTTAATACATCAAGAATGTCCAGGAGAAATCAAATTAGTGTCACTTATCCAGGGCTTCAAGAACTTACATGAATAAACCTTTGTTGCTGAAAATTTATTCCAGCTTCCATTTACCCATGTAAATGAAAAATATTAGTGATTAACTAAAATTTGGATGCTAAACCAGTCCATTCTTATTCCATTGTCATTAATTAAAGCATCCCAAAATGCAAGAAAATAATACAAGCAAAAGAAATTCTTATCCATCAGAAAGTAAAAAAGAAATGATTCAAGCAATAACTAGGAAGACAATGATTGAATATAGAAGCAATATAAGGCCTACCAGGCCCTAATATAGAAGAGGTAATTCAATTTTGGATCAGAAATATTTTGAAGTATAAATTAATATGATGAAAGGAGAGAGAGAGAGAGAGAGAGAGAGAGAGAGAGAGAGAGTTTCAAGTGAAAGGGATGGTAGAATCCATTGTATGGATGCCAAAACAGTTGCGGAATGAGAGGGTGAATTTCAAAAATTTTCTACCTACCTTTCAACTGGGAATCGCATTCCCTAATTTTAGAATCAAGATTCAAGGATCCTACTTGAACCAGAACCAAACCAGATCTGAACCAAAAGAAAAGGGAGTGATTATACCTGATCCAGAGAAATAATATCTCCTAAAGTTAGTGTTCACACCCAAAGAAGGCACCAAGATCTGCTCCTGCCGAAGATGACACAACAACTGTGGAACAGAACCAATAGGGTGCGTCCTACACACTGAATCCTTCACAAGAATCCTTTGGATGACAATGAGCACCAAACCAAATAAGCCTTTCAACAAAGACTGATATCAAGAACTTTTCTTGATCTTTCTCTGACAAAGAAAAATGAACTGTGATAGATGGTGGCGGCTGCAACTGGAGGAAACTGAGAAGGTGGCGAACTGGTTTTTTCTTCTCTAGGGTTTCTGAGATCCTATCTCAAAACTGCAGATTGTGTATACTGTGTCCCTAGGGTTCAAATTGTTGTAATTCTCAATGGGGTTTCTTCCAGCTGCTTAATGATTAAGAAAAAGATCTCCTGATCATATCAGGAGTTGCCTTTATCCAAATTTGTATTTGGATTAGAACTCTTCTTAATCTTATCTGCAGATTAGATAAGCATTGGGCTCATCCTAATCTCAGATCCGCCCCTTAATAGTGATTGATCAAATCAGCCCAGTTCGAAATGGGCTTTAGGCCCAATAAGGTTATGTGCTCAAATGTCTTCCAAACTGCTGCCCAGTTGGGCTTCTTTGTATGGTGTGGGACCCAAGCATTGATCTACACACCAGCCACATGGGTTCGGCCCAACCTCTGTTACAAGGCCTGGCCGAATTCATTGGAGAGCCTAGTGAACCCCCTGAGCCCATCACAAGGACCCTATGAGCCCAACACTTACACTAAGTGGTCCCTGGGCCAAGCCATCTTATAAAAACCCAAGAACTGTGGGCAGGTACAAGATTAGCCCATCAGGTATCATCCCAAATGACCTTACACTTAACCTCTCAGCCCATAAAGATCAAGCACTGCCCGACAAGAGAGGACATCTCCCTCGGCTGCAAGGAATAGTGCTGCACTCTCTACTTACATGGATCCCGGGAATTAAAACCATTTGCAAACATTTTGAAACCATACTTAAATATATATCATATATATAAATTTTGCAAAACAAAWWTCCAACGATTGAAATCAACTGCCGGCAGTTTGGTTTCCATCAGAGAGAGTGCATCCCCGATCATTACCTTTGTCCGACAAAGGGGCTGATCCCGTCACTATGATCACCCACTCAGATGAATTCTCAAACTGTCCCAACATACCCAGGTTTTGACCCCCACTAAGGATCTCACTGATTGGCATATCAAAGACAGCCCAATCCAACACCTAGTGCAGTACCATAATCGGGTCTAGGGGTCAGGTGTAACTTTCCAGTTTTTGCCCATCAATCTCCAAGGTCCAGGGCAATACTGGAAATCTGGTCCGGTTCAAGGGTTCAAATAATCCTACACTGCATGTGCCTTGGGTCTCACCCTGGCGGCTGAGACAAGCCACCCCAACAGTTGGCAGCACACCAGTGTCAGCCTTGGCAGGATAAATCTCCCCAGACTTATCCAATGGTTGTGAACATTCAAAACCAACACAAGTCTCATTAAGTGTCCAGTTTTAGGGTCTTACACAGAAGTATACCACACAACATGAATCAAACATGTACTTCATTTATTTACATTAAATAACAAAAGTAAATCAAAAACTGATTGAAGCTAAGGGCATACAAAAACTGTCCAACATCAAGTCCATAAAAATCATGGATGGATCTTTCTTAAGAGGGATTTGTCCGTGATTATTCATAGCTAGCTCTAAAAAGAAAATGGAAAATGAAAAATGAACTAACACATGATTACTTAACATATCGGAGTAGAGAAAACAAAATAATGGCTTGCAAGGTGGTGATTGAGGTTTGAGTGGTACTCCTAGTGTAAGGGGTACTGGAGTTGGTAATGTAGTGCCAATCAATAGGGATGTACACTTTTTTTTAGTAGAAAGGTGAGGGATGTTAGGATGTGAACAGTAGGAAGGGGGGTAAAATGTGGTTAATTTTGATGTATTATACTAGTATAGTCCCTGTTGTATCCTATACCTTATGTTCTTTTTTTTTTCTTCTTTCAGCCCTATAAGAGCTTTCTTGTAATTGTAGTTGTACGTATCTCTAATATATATAAGGCCCTTTGGGTGTGGAGGTTAATTGATTCTTGACACCCTTAATTCTGTTTTGAGCTTTTCCATTGTTACGGCTAGGAAAGTTAACATGGTATCAGAGCAGGATGCTCTCTGATCTATTATCTCATCTCTCAATCCTCAATGAAAGTAGTAATCCTATCATCCTATTAAGGTTTACTGCCCTCTTTGTTGGGTGAATGGGATTAGGGCTGTTTTGAGCTGTTTTGATCAACCCTAATTTCTGTCCAGTCTGCTTTGCGCAACCAGCAGAAGAGATTTTATTAGATCTCTCTTAGGAAACCTTGGATTGAAGCCAAACTTTCAGATAATTAGATCTAGTGTTGCCTAGACCTGATCTATTAACCTACAAACAACATCTGATTTGGTTAAGTTTTTGTAGGAGTACTGATCTTCTTCCTTGGGCAGCAACAACGTATAGTTTCATGTTTTGGACAACAACATCTTTGGACCTCAGGTCTGTTATGCAGGAGAGAAGAATGGAAGAAGAGAGAAGAGAGAACTGAGAGCAAAAGATGCTGCTGGCGGCGCAGCTTTTTTAATATATATACTAGG